CCTCCCTGCACATCCACTGGGAATACCCTGGGTGAAAAAAACTCACCAAACAGGAAGACAGGCACCCAAATCTCCCATCGGTGCTGGCATGAAGGGCAGTGGGTACCCAGAGGCAAGGGTACATGCACAGGAGCGACCTATGTGATATACCGCTTCGGTAGCCCAAACACGAAAGGGAAAAAAAACCCCAACCAAAGCGGTTTTTTATCTCCCATTTTTCACAGGTGGGTCTGAAGGACCCAAGGTCATGGTTTTCCCCCTATCAGCCGGCACTCGGAGCGTGCCAGCAGTCCCTCGCAGCAGCCCCGGCCGTGCGGAGCCATCCCCGCCTGGAAAAGCGCCTTCCAAGAGTGCATTTTCCAGTCTGGCCGAGCCAGGCTCAATGTATGTTTTGGTCTGCGTGTTATTTATCTGAGTCACCGGAGCAGCGCTGTAACTGTCAGCCTGTTGACGCTCTACCAAGTACGCACAGAGCCAGGGTAATTTTGATATATTGCTGAGATGCTGCAGCAAGCTTACTGCTCTGAGCCATGGTGCTCCATTAAAACTAAAATAAATTAAAAAAAATCTGCTTTCTTATAATGAAAGCTTCTTGGACTTGTTTCTGCTCTCCCCTGGAAAATTAAGTAGATTTTTAAAAAAAAAGTAATCTTCAACCTGGGTACTGAGAGCTCAGAAAACACATCCAGAGCACACAAACCACCTCCCGAGAGCTGCATGACCTGAGCCAGAGCACAGCAAATCCCGAGGAGCTACGGCAAATCCCGAGGAGCTACGGCAAATCCCGAGGAGCTACGGCAAATCCCGAGGAGCTACGGCGTGTGGCTGCCTGCAGGGCAGGGAGGCAGCCTGGGAGGTCCCTACTAGTCTTTACAAACATCATCGTCATTCTTAATGCTCCCATACTCGCCTGGGGCTGGCACAGCAGCCTGGCAAGGTGGGTTTCCTTTGGAAAAGGTACTGGACAACATGAGCTGGGAAACAGAAATTCGGCCCCCATTTGGTATTTGGGTGATGCTTAAAGGGATGATGCTTTAAAGCTACAGATTTCATGGGACCTGACCCCAGCTGGGGCTACCTGGCGGTCCTGGCTCCATTAGCCTGGAAATTGCCACCGAGGCAAATTAGCACAAGTCACCGAGACATCCGAGGGCAAACTAATGAGCGCGGCTCACGCAGGAAGATGCCAACACAATACCACCGTCCCAACGCCGAAGGCACCTAAAGAGGATGGACGTTTTTTCGGAGGAAACATCCACGTTTCTGTGCGGTCGTGTCTCTTAACCCTGTGCTGCTGCGCAGAGACAGCACCGTGGTCCGGGCACAAGGCTGGGCATCGTCTAGCCCTGCTGCAGAGCTCACGGCAGGGCTCTGAGCGTTACCTGCCCTTCAAAGCCAAGGGGGAGAAGCAGCAGGCACGATGCAGGTTGCGACGGCGGCTCAGTGCTGCTGGGGGCAGGTCTGCTCCCTCTGCCCCCAGCCCCTCACCTGGTCCCTTTGGCAGCAGCGGACAAGTCCTGCAGCTACCTGTCCTCTGCCCACCTCCCTGCCTCCTCTGCCTGCACTGCTGCAGCTGCGGTCCGATCCTGCATGCACCGCACTGGTGCAAACCCCGACGAGGCGGTGGGGTTGTGCTGTGTGAGACATGCTGCTTCAGAGCAGACGCTGCGAGGCCAAGCGGGCTGCCTCGTCCCACCGGGCTCCTGCTCCTTGGAATTACGAAGCAGAGCAAGAGCAAGGTCCCCTTGTCACCGTGTTGAGACATTTGATGCAAGGAGGGCAGAGACTTTGTGACTTTGTGAGTCAGCAGGAGGTGGGGAAGGACTCCTCAGAGCAGGAAGCACCCAAGTGTGGTATCAAAGGGGGCAGACGACCCCAAGGGAGACAAGGCTGAGACAGAGGAGCGAGTGTGAGAGGACAGCAAGCGCAAAGGCGCAGGTACCCACCGCGCT